CACTTTTAACATTATCTAGCAGTATATTTCCGCTATGTAAATCTCGATGAATAAGATCATGCCAATGAATTATCTGAGTCTCGTGAAAGATTTAAGCAAATATTGAACCGAATAGAGAGTGAAGAAATTTCACCCGATGAAATTTCTTCCGACGAAATTTCTCTTGATAAAATTTGCGATAAAATTTATTCCGCTAAAACTTACATTAGTGAATTAATTCTATCTTTTACAAAGGATTTAATATAGTACAAATATTCCTAGTAAATTATTGTTCATCTATTATGTTAAAAGTTTACTTTTATAAATTTTGAATGCAAATTTTTCAGCAGATTTAATATTGTGATACAAGGAATTATGTATACTAGCGTATCTCGCATTGCTCACACAATGCACTTGGGTTTTAAATTTTGTGTTTACTAACCATATTTGATAAATAAAATAATTGAGCTTGTTATAAAAATTGTACAAAAATATTATTTTTTTTTAGTAGATATTGTAAGTAGAGTTTAGTTCACAATATTATACAGTATCATCCATATATGCAAGTGATGAAATTGTAGATTGTATATCATGAATTTGTTTAATAGGAGAATACATAATAAGAAATCCAAGATAACTGATATTTATTTTTCATCAATATTTTTTTCAAATTATCATCAATTTCAGTATTATACGTCCATTCATATATGGCTAATAATTATTTATAGAATTTAGTTAATTTTAGATTATAAAAATTAAAAATACAGAAATATGTTTGTATGTTAAAATTTCTGGAGTTATACACGTTGGCGTTTACAATGGATTCAATAACGAATCCATCCGTCGTTCAATGATGGGTCTCTATATGAATGCTGCCAAAAGAAAACCTGTAAGTACAGATCTGTGCCGGACATAAGCTATGAAAATTGAGACTACAATCAATATTTTAATCTTCCCGATGGTATTTTGAACCTACTTGCTTAAATTACATAAATCACAATTTTCAAAAGTCTGTATAGTAAAGATTTAAATTTGTACTTATAGATATTTTCTCGACCACTTTCATATATGAAATGATGGCCCTTGCACATCTTTATATACAATGTTCTTTTATCATTTACCCGTCATTTAACGACGTGCCCTACCTAATAATTAATCATAATAATACCTGTTGTTAAAGATTTTTCTCTAAACCGTGATTTAAATATAGTATAAATTTGTTAGATAACGTATTTTGATATATGTTGAATTTTGTAGTGACTTGCGACGTAGCATACAACAAATCTACAGATTATTACCAAGATCAGGTACAACGATCTTTTTCTTATCGTTTATAACATGAATTTTTGCTTGTGAACCCAAATTTTGTACTCTAAAAGAAAGAATTTTCTCGCAAACGTTTAGGTTAAGAGCTTTCGCTCTACTCTAACCATTGTATTTCTTGATTTCAATTATACCTGAGCATATGATTTGATTGTGGCACGTCACAATGCACCCACACAAATTTAAATCAATATACCTCTGACACCAGTATTTGGCTTTATTTAAATCTCTTGTTGTTCCAATTCCATTTCGATAACAGTTTGCTACTGTTAACATTCCAATAGCGTTACCCAACTCTGCAGATTTTTGATAATAAATAAATGCTTTACATTGATCCTTTTCAACTCCTTTTCCATCAAATAATGATAATGATCAATTCATAAGAGAGGTAATCTTTATTAAATATTTTTATTAATTACAATATATTGTCCGTGTTTTATCAATTATTAATAATTGAAAATATATTTCATTTCAATAAGTTAAAAGCATATTGTGATATCGGTCTTAAAAATACAACTTTTTTAAAATGTTTGGGTAAATCAAGAGACAAAGCTACTAAAGATTATATTCTTGTCATGGATCATGCTCATCACGGTAGTTTGCGCGAAAATATACAACATATAGCACAAATGGATTGGAAAGATAGATTAAATCTACTACATTCTATTGCATCAGACCTTCAGATAATTCATTGGCATGATCTTATTCATCGAGATTTACATAGCGGAAATATACTGCTAGATAATGTTAAAAGTG